ATGCTGGTGGGACCGGGGATGCTTCTGCCAACCCTCACTTTACAGAAGGAAGCGTAACGCTCAGACTCCTCGTTCATTTGGTGCATGCCCCCGTTTCAGGCAAATCTGAGAGTTCCAGTCCTCGGTGAGCGGTGCCGGCCACCTTTTAGAGACACGGGGACTTCTTCAGTCTGGAGGCCTGCTGACCATCCTCTCCCCTTTCTGCTCGCTGTCATCTCTCTGCTTCATTTTCTGCTCCTTGCACTAACACCGTTACCTCGCGCAGCTTCCCATGCCACAGTCCGCCAGCTATCGCTTGCACCCTTCTTCCTTACGCAGCCCCAGCGAAGAGCTCTCCCAGGGTGAGCTCTGCCCTGATGTGTTGGCTCCATCTCTCCTGCAGCGAAGGTGGTTCTGGATCCAAACACAGCCCACTGCGACCTTGTCCTGTCTGACAACTGCAAAAGCGTGAAACGAGAAGACACGCGGCAGGACATCCCCGACATCCCCGAGAGATTCAACCCATGGCGCTGCGTGCTGGGCTGTGAAGGCTTCACCTCGGGGAGACACTACTGGGAGGTGGAGGTGGTGGATGGAGGAGGATGGACTGTGGGGGTCTCTAGAGTGGATGTGAAGAGGAAGGGTGAGATTGAGTTCAAGCCAGAGGAGGGCATCTGGGCGCTGGGGCAGTGGGCAGGCCACTTGCAAGCCCTCACGTTCCCTAATCGCACTCTCCTTCCGGACATCCAGACTCCCAAGCGGGTCCGGGTCTCTCTGGATTATGAAGAGGGACGGGTGGCATTTTTCAGTGTCGATGAGGAGATTCCCATGTTCACGTTTCCACTGACATCATTCGAGGGGACAAGAGTCCACCCTTGGGTCTGGCTGGGTCCTGGGACGTGGCTCAAAATGTGGCCCTGATGAAGGGGAGGGAGTAAGAGAAGGCTTTGTTAAGGGCCTTCAGGAGTTCATAAGGATCTAGGTTGGAAGGAACTTGTGGAGGTTTCTGTTGCAACCACCTGCTCAAGGTAGAGCTAACCTCGAAGCTGCCTGTGTTTGGACCTCTTTCAGTGGGCTTGTGTGGAGACTTCATCACCTCTCTGGACCTCTGTCCTGGTGCTGCACCTCTCTCAAGGAGGAGAATTAACCCTTTGTGTTCGGTCAGAGTTTCCCCAAATGCAGCTCATGACTGTTTCATCCTCGCTCTTCACTTGTTGAACAACACTTAAGACACCCTGGCAACAGAGATCACTTTTTAAATGTCCAGAATAAAGTTAATTCAGCGGGATTCGTCTGTGTGTGTGTCAGCACCCAGCGCCTGTGTCTGAGGCGTTGTCTCCACCTCCTTTCAGCCTGGGGGGAGTTGCAAGTACTTTTGGGAAAATGCAGGAGATAGTGAAGGCACGTCGTTGGGCTTGGTCCATGGCTGGACTTGTCCCTGTGCTTGTCCCCACGTCTGCCTGCAGCACAAGCCCAGGTGATGAGGTCATCCATGACCTGGAGACATCTAACGCTGCGAGATGGATCCCACCTTCGGTCACTCATTGTGGGGGAGGAAAAGCTGCTTTTGCTTACAGTGCTAAGGAGCCTGGAGCAGGCTCAGAATGTCCCCTGTGGGCTGAAAGGGAGCTGGAGAAACCAAAAATTCCTCTGAAGAAGGGCATCTCCTGTTGAGTCATGTATTCAGGCAACTCCAGATTATTTTTCTGTAGTGGAAACTGCCACCTGCAAGGGGAGGACAGAAGTTATGTGCTTCCGCTGAAGCCAGATGTGCTTTAGCACCAGATCCTCCATTCAGCTGATGTCCAGCAAGCATGGACCTTCCCAAGGGAAGGCTTCACCATTACTGCTGAATTCATGGGCTTCTCAGAAATGCAAGAGGATCTACTTGTGTGTGTGCCAGGGTAGGTCTGTTTGTGCTCAGCCCAGGGCAGCTCCATCCTCCCACCATGGAGGACCCTCAGGGAACAGCTCGGAGATGCTATTAGGGCTTTCACCTTTCTCTCCAGGCCTGCCCAGCCCTCAGGAGTAATGGTCCCAGAGGCTGGTGGTCATGTCTCGGCTTCGTTCCTTGCTGTGCACAAGCCCGCATGACGCAGCAGATGCCAAATCAGCTGTAAGGCCTGCAGTAGTTGCAGGGCTTGTCCAAGGACCCAGTGGCAGAGCGCTCCAAAGTCCCTGTGAACAGTGTCACAAGTCCACGGGGACGGGTAGCCCCTGCTGCTCAAAGAGTGGTTAGATGGTCGTGTCCCTAAAGAAGGCTGGTGGGAAGGTGAAGACACAGACCTTGCTTTCTGCACTGGAGGAGGAGCACCATGCTTCTCAAGGCAGGGGTGATGCAGTTGCATGTTTCTGAGACCCTCGGGCACCATCACCTTATGTTCTTCTTCCTATTTCCCAGTCACATACGGTGTCGGTGAGGTGCTAAAGGAAGTGGGAAACAGCCTGGGTCACCTTGTTCCCTCCAAACACCTGCTTGAAATAGTCTGCAGGTGAAATCAAGGTTGAGGATCTGCTCATGGGAGATCGATCCCAAGGTGTGGGAAGCTCTGGTCTGGGAAGGCTCTGGAGCGGGGGAGAAAGCTGATGGGCTGGAGAAAAAGGTGACCCTAGGATAAAAATGAAAGAGTGGACTGCAAATGTGGGGCAAAAGCATCGTTGCTAGCAGGATGGCTGATGTAACCCTCATCTTCCTCTTGTCTTCACCTGAGGGAAGCAGGTTGAGCAAGACAATACCATCCCTGCTCCTTTGCTCTCCCCATCTGGATGTCTGGACCCCAGGATCTCTCCTGGTCTCCTCCTCACTGCTCATAACCAGCCGTGAGCAGAGTGTGCCTGCAGAGGACTCCTGACCTGTGCACCCCTTTCCTCCGGTACAGCGTGCCCCTTCCCCTTCAGCAAGGCTCATCGCAGTGGCCTGCTTGGGTCTTCTGCTCCTTCTCCTTCAGGGAGCGAAGCAGGTGGGGTGAAGGACCTTTTGAAAGTTCGAGGTATCCTGGTGCGTTCATCCACCTGGAAAAGGGAGACAGAGAGGCACCAGCAACATAAGGGCTGTGGGTTGAGAACGTGGGGCCGTGGCACGGAAGACCAACTGGTGGTATCGTGGGGTGAGTGTGAGTAGTGTTGTGGAGGAGGGGAAACCACATGCAGGCTCAACCCTGGGGACTCTGGGAGCAGGCCAGGGTTACGTTTGCTCTCTCCCTTCCTACCCCTGCTTTCTGTCAGAAATCGCTGATGCAGAGCCAAAAAACCTCTCCCCAAGTTCCTCCTCTGCTGCTGCCTCCAGCCCTCTCACTACAAGCTGAACCAAAATGCCCCTGCAGCGAGGGGCTGGGGGTGCGGGAGAAGCTGGGGGGGCTCAGGAGACACAGCTGACCCCAATGGGCCGGAGGGATCTTCCATACCACGGAGCGTCATCCTCAGCAACAAAACTGCGGGGCGGGGAGTTTGTCCCAGGTACCATCGCGTGAGGACTGGGTGGGCACTGATCTGCTGGTGGGAGGTGGGAAGCGAACGCTTTGGCATCACTTTTTTTTCTCCCTCTCTCTTTCCTTCACTCATTAAACTACCTTTATCTTGACCTGTGAATGTTTTTTTTTCTCATTTCTTCTTTTCCTGTTCTCTCCCCCATCCTGCTATAGAGGCACTGGGCGAGTCGCTGGTGGGTGCTTAGCTGCTGGCTGGGGTTGACCCACCACAATCCAATGGAAAAACCAGTAGGAAACCAGTATCTCGCCTCCTCTGTAGCATCCCCCGTTGCAGCTTTTGGTGCCCAACAGTCCAAGATGCTCTGCAGTGACCTATGGGCCAGGGAAGCGGAGACAGCTCGGCTCCAGGAACAGACACCAGGAGGAACTGCGAAGCCAAGCTCCTTCCTCTAATCTACTCGCCCGCTCTGTGCTGCGGCTTCTCCCGCCGACGTTAAAGCTGCCTGGCAGCTCTCCAGAAGAGCCATCCCCGGTTTTCCTGGCAGCCGTAAGGAAAGGATCCCTCGCCTACACCACGAACAACTAGCTGAGGTAACGTGCAAGAACTGCTCCTCTCTGGTATGCCAGCTAGGCTGCAGTCCCCAGGTTGAGATGCCTCAAGGGTCGAAGCCCAGACGGTGCTGAGAAAGAGCTGCCTTGACCTAGAAAGGTGCAGCTCGGGGGGACATGCAAGGGCCCCTCCCGGGTGCAACCCTCCCTCCTTCGCTGCACACAAGCAAGAAATTATGGAGCCGGTCTCTGGTGGAGACTTGTCCAAGGAGATGGTGCAGCAGCTGAAGTGAGGGCCGTGCTGAAGGACAGGAGATGGGTTTGGCTGCTCAGGACGCCGCAGCTCCCAGCCCACAGCTGTGCGTGCTGATAGCGAGCCTGGGCAGCCCAGGCAGAGCAGCCTGGCAGGAGGGACGCAAGGCGGCCGGAGAGCAAACGCCGGAGGGTCCATGGGTGAGTCCCAGGGAAGCAGTGTCCGTCGGGGGCCGGGCACTCAAGGTAGCCACATCTCGGTGTGGGAAGATCTTTCACGCAATTCGTGCTCCTAACTTGTGAACCCAAACCACGCAGAGGGATCAGCTGGCGCTGGGGAGGAGCGTGTTCAGGGAGGCTCTTCCAGCCCGCGGCTTCTCCGGGCTGGCATGGGCATGGGTATGCAGGAACGTGAGTGCGGCAGAGCCGCTGCTTTTGCAGTGGTGAGGACAGCGATGCCACCCCAACGCAGGAGGCAACGCCATGAGGAGGTTCCTGAACCAGGTTCTCCCTCCCATGGCAGAGGATGAGGCAAACAGAAGGGGAGAGATGGTGTCTCCTTGCTGAGCCTGCTGCCCTCCAAGGACGAGATGACGGGGTGGGTGCTGGCAATAGGTGTGGGACTTTCCTCTCCCTTCCAAACTCCCAGCAGGGAGCTGCGGGGCTCAGAGGGTCCCAGAGGGTCTGGTGGGGGATGCCAGCTCTGTTGCGAACGATGCTTGTGAGGAAGAACGGTGACGTGTAAGTGCGTGTCTGTCTGTGCCCACGCCTCTCGGCTCTCCCCTCCAGGCCATGCGGGTCCTTGCCCTGCTCCCGCTCATCCTCCTGGCCCTGCTGCCCCCAGCCAGTGCTACCAACCCAGGCCAGCCGTGCTCGTTGGAGATGAACAAGGTCAAGGACCTCCTGGAGGCGAACTGCTCAGGGCAGGCTCTCAGCGCGGTGCCCCCAGACCTGCCCGCTGACACGGGCATCCTGCTGCTCAACGCCAACCGCAACGCGCTGGGGGCCCTGCCTGCGCTGCAGGGCCTGCCCAAGCTCACCCGCCTGGCCGTGGCCCACAACAGCCTGGACACGCTGGCCCCAGGGGCTTTCCGTGCTGTGCCAGGGCTGCAGGACCTGGACCTGCGAGGGAACCGGCTGCGGACGCTGCCCCAGGAGGCATTTGCAGGGCTGGAGGCACTCAAGGACTTGGACCTCTCGGACAACCTCCTGGAGGAGCTCCCCAAGGAGCTGCTGCAGGATCTGGGAAAGCTGGAGACCTTCTGGCTCTCGGGGAACCGCCTGCGGACCCTGCCTACCGGCTTCTTCCCTGAGGGGCACTTCTTCGCATACGTCTTCCTCACTGAGAACCCCTGGCACTGCGACTGCGACCTGCTCTACCTGCGGAAGTGGATCCTGCAGAACAGCGACAGTGTCTATCAGCCGGAGCGGGGCCTGGAGAAGACAAAGGTGGAGGTCGCCCCTGAGAAGGTGGTGTGCCACAGCCCCCCTGAGCATTTGCTGAGGCCCATCATCAACTTCAAGCCCAACTGTGGCAATGTGGGGGACGCGGATGAGGAGGAAGAGGATGAATACGGTGACGGGGAAGAAACAATGGCAAAAGCTCCCATGGCCACCTTCTCTCCACATCTGTCCATCCCCAAAGAGCACACTGCCACGCCCAGTGCTGTTACCTGGCCTCCCCTCACCACCCCTTGTAGCTCCACTCTTGCCCCAAGCACTTCGCTCGCAACGCCTGCAAGCACCAGCGCTCCCACCAGCAGCAGCCCTGCGTTAGCCTGTCCCACCATCAGACCCACTGCCGTTGTCACTGTGGCTCCCGACAGCACCCCGCACAGACACACCACCCTCGTCTCCACCACCTCACCGCCAACCGCTACGAGTACCAGACCTCCCACCACCAGCAGCCATCCGCAAACCACCCTTGCCACCAGCACTACCAACACCCATTCCACTCTCCAGGTGTCCACTGGTGTGTTTTCCACCGCCTCCACGGCAGTGCCTTCTACTGCCATGCTCGAGGCCTCTTCCATTGCCAGCTCTTCATCTCCTCCTCCAACGACGACCACACCGATTGTCTCCACCACCATGCTTTCCACTGGTGCCCCAACGCCGCCAGCTCCCCTGGACACCACACGCTTCACCCAGCCTGCGCCTTCCCCTCCACCGGCACCTCTCCCCCACTGCCCCTGCTCCCCCTCAGAGATGGTCGTACCCATGCTGCGCTCGCGGGCAGGTGGGGAGGGTCCTCAGTGGGGGCAGTGGGTGCTGAGGCATTGCTGCCTGTTGCACTGGGTGCTCTACCTGGCCTCTTTGGTTCTGCTGGTCCTGGCCACACTCGCTCTAGCAGGCTGGCTGGTGTGGATGTGTCTGGTGGGACGGCCCTCCTGGCGCAAGTCCCTGCAGACCCAAGCGGTGCAGTGGCCGCTGCTGAGGATGGGGGAGTCACCAGGAAGCCCTGCAATCCATCTCAGCAGCTTCAACAGCCCCCTCCAGCGCCCCACATTCTGTACCATCAAGGAAGTAGAGTTGTGCCCTGAGGTCACCTACTGCACTATTAAAGACCTGGGGCTACAGTGCAGTCCTCCTGCAAGTTCCTCCTTCTGCACCACAAAGGAGCTGTGGGTCCACCATAATCCTCTGAACACTTCGTTCAAGTCTTTCTCCAGGAAGCTGACGGTCCCAAACCTCAGCTCCCTGAGGATGCCTTCGGCTTACAGCCTGGACAGGGGTGTCCGGGCCATCGGTGATGTCAGAGTGAAATATGCTGGCAACACCTTGTAACTGCTTCTGCGTGCTCAGGATGGAGGGTCACGGCTCCACTTCACCTACTCTTTTTTTACAGGAGAAAGATCTGCTTGCCCAGCAGGAAGCCACCCAGCTCCTTCCTCTCGTCTCACTCTCCTACACCCTGAGGTTTCTAGATCTGAAATAATTAATCTAGATACTTGGCAGGGAGAGAAGACATCCTGAACTGGTCAGTGACAGTTTGGGGCTGATACTGCCAGGTTTCGGGGTGAGTATTGTCCCGACTGCTTCTGCTCAAATGATGCGCTGTGCTTTCCACTCGGTGCCAAGTTGTTCATCACAGAATAAAAGTTTTCTTTGCTTGAATATCAAACGGGTGCTCGTTTCATTTCGTTAGACCTCCCATAGTCCTGGCAGGGTACCATAAATGACAAACTTGTTTTCAGTACCTGGGATATAGTGAAGATACAGAGGAAAAGTCCACTTTTATCCAGCTTCTTGACTTTTCGTAGAACCATAGAATGCTTTGGGTTGGAAGGGACGTTTCAAGGTCATCTAGCCCAACCCCCCTGCAGTGAGCAGGGACATCTTCAACCAGACCAGGTTGCTCAGAGCCCTGACCAACCTGGTCTTGAATATTTCCAGGGATGGGGCCTCCACTACCTCTCTGGACAACCCGTTCCAGTGCTTCGCCACCCTCAGTGTAAAAAATTTCTTCCTTATATCCAGTCTAATTTTTGCCCCAAATGTGTGATCCTTCACTGTGAGACCAAATCACGTGGGAAAAGCATCCCACAGCATGTCCCGCTGTCACGTAATAGGTTCAGGAACCAGTAGGTGCCGATGCCTCTGTGTGACCCATCACGGGACGGGTGGAAATGCGGGAGGAGGGCGATGAATGTGATTTGGGAGGGATCACAGGAGGACAAAACGTCCAGGACCTGGCCAGTGTTTGTGACCACCTGTGCAGACGTCACCCAGACATCTTGGGAGGCACGAGAAGCAGACGGAGGTTGTCACTGGTGGAGGTCCACCGGCAGGCCCCAGCACTGATGCACAAACGCAGCGCCTAGATCATACGCATCACTTCTGCAATGGCCGTTCCAGTTCTGACTGGCCCGAAGGCATCGCCCATCGCCGGGTTAATTAACTGCTCCACGGAAGGGCACGTGCGCCTGTGCCTGGCCAGCGCGGGTGAGCAGCCTCCCATGCAGGCGTGCCCGCCAGCCACGCTCCCGTGTGCTTGTGCGTCTGTGGACGTGCACGCTCTGCTTTTGTGAGGAAGCATTTGCCTGTGTGTTGGTGGTGTCCTCTGACCCCACCACGCTCTCGCCCTCTTTCCTGGGACGACAGGAACAGCTCGAGAGACCCCAGATTTGACCCATGACTGCAACAGCTCAAGAGACCTCAGATACCCTCTGAGCATCCAAGAGACACATGGATGGCCTTGGGCAGACCCCTGGAACTTCAGCTTGAACTGCTTCTTTACATATTGATTTTTTTTTTTTTCTTTTATCAGATAGTTTTACGACATCTTGGGACATTTTTCAGCCCCCTCTGGTCTCGTATAGCAGTGTCAGTGCCTAAGGACTCCTTTTCTTGTTTTGTAACGGTGCTGCTTCTCACGTTCTTGCGTTCAGGCTCTGTGGTGGGGCAGCATGCACCAGCTCTCGCCTCTCCAGGAGCTTTGGCTTCCTTCCAACACAGCTCCCACAGCGTCGTGGCATCCAGGTTAGGCCATTCAGCTCCGGATGGCTGGACAATTGGGCAGGTAAAAAGCAGTGCCAAGGTCAGGACCAGCGGCTAGCGGTTAACGGATCATACCCCACTTGGCTGCTGGTGAACACGTGGAGCACCGCACCGGGCCGCGCTGCACACTCTTCTGTCCCACGTCTTTATCGATGATGTGGAGGAGGTAACTGGGCACACTTTTATTGTGTTGGCAGATGACACCAGGTTGGGGAGGATCAGTTCCTGTGCTTCCAGGAGGACTGCAGTTCAGGGAGCACCATTCACCCTGGAGAAACGGGCTGAGAGAAGCCTGATGAAAGTCACCAGGGACAAATGCAAAGTCCGGTACCTCGGAAGGAAGACCACAGCAATGCCGGTGGGGGCCAGGCTGCGCAGCAGAGCTACAGAAAAGGAACTGTGTGTCTCGGGCGACAGAAAGGTGAACAAGGGCCAGCAGTGCAGGAGCCCAGTCAGTAGACCAAGAGAAGTGATTATCTCCCTCTGCTCAGTGCTCATCAGACCACATCTAAAATCCTGTTTTGGGGGGCCATTAGAACCTTCAACCCTCCCCTACACATCCCAGGACCCTCAATGGCCTCCCCAAAGGCACCACTGTTACCCCAACGTCTCCCAGAATCCCCATCACCTCTGCCTCTCCTCTCAAGTCCTCCCTAGGATTCTCCCCCGTCGCCACACAATGAGCACTCCTGGTCACTCCTGGAAGCCAAGACCTCCCAGAGCCACCCAGGAACCTTGAATCCCCCAGGAGCCCTCAATGCCCCCCTGTGGGCCTCAGCAGGGCCCCCAGCGCGGTGCAATTGATGAGGGAGGATGTGTTGGAACTTGTGGGCCATAAACCCTGGGAAGAAGGGAGTTAGTGCCCAGCCATCCTGACCCTGAGAAGAAGAGAGATAGTGCCGAGCCATCCTGAGGGAGGAAGCAAGGCCTTGGATAAGATAAGAAAAGAATGTGTCTGCATGGCCTTAGTTTAGATGAGCTTAGGAAAAGAATGTGTCTGTATTAGCAACTGTGTTAACCAATCAATAGGTGCCTAGTTTGAAACTTAACCAATCAGTTTAAAACACGCTACCTTCTGATCTGTATAAATGTATGTGTGTAAGAACAACAAAACGATCATCCTGCTTGCATCAAGCGGTGTCCCGTCTCTCAATCGCGGCACCCCCCTTCTGCCCTGCCATCTACCGCAAAACCCCGGCACCCCCAGGACTCTCCTATTTCCGCAGGATCCCTCATGCACCCCAAGATGCTTCCCAGTCCCGAGACTCTTGCACACCCTCCCCCATGCCCGATGAACACCAGGACCCAGCGCACAGTGCCCTCTCCCCACTGGTCCCTGGGGGACCCAGGCACCCAGGCAATCCTGGTCCTCACCACCACCCATCCAGGACACCCAGGCCATCGGTCTCTTGCTCTCCTGTTCCTGGATGGGTGGTTTTATCAGCAGAAAAAACAAGACTCAGATGGTCAGTTCAGGAGCCACTTTTATTTAACCCAAGTTTTGGGGGGGAACTAGGGGATCCCCAGCTCGCAGTGAAGGACTCAGGGCAAGGGAGTGCAAGGATTGCAGTGTGGGGAGTCTTTGTGTCCCATGGGGTCCCCAAGGTCCAGGCCATGTACCCTGGGGGTGGAGGGTTGCTGGAAACCACAGGAGAAACCCATTCTGGGGAAGGGATCTGAGGGTAATTTCACGCCATAGAGGTGCCCATGGATGCTACCTGGGGATCCCACCATGGGGTGCAGAGCTTTTAAGCCCCCCCCCCCCCCCCCCCTACCGTGGGGGGGGGTGTCAGGTGATCTCGAACTGTCCTCAAGGCAGCTGGGGCCACGCAAGGCAGGGGGTACAGTGAGGACACAAGCCCGGAGGTCAGTATAGGCATGGGGCAAGGTGCCCCGGGTGATCCAGCGCCGGGTGCCTGGCTGGTAAGCATGGATCAAGTGAGTGTCCCGGTAGGTCTCGTGACTGTACCCTCCCAGTACGAGGAGTTCCCCACCCAGCACAGCTGCACCCCCAACTACATGGGCATGGGGCAGGGGGCTGAGGAGCACCCACATGTCCAGCTTGGGGCTGTAAACCTCAAAGGCCAGCTGGTCCCTGTAGCCAGTCTCCCCGTCCCGCTGGCACAGTCCCCCAGCCACGTAGAGCTGCCCACCTGCCTCCTCCATGACGTGGCCAGCTCGGTGGCCATTCATGGGGGCCAGGAGCGTGGCAGGCGCACCTGGGATGTAGCGCAGCAAGGACGCCTGGCACTGGCATGCCTCATCACACCCCCCTGACACGTAGAGGGCACCATCCAGGGCACACGCCGCGTGCCCGCACAGAGCCATCGGCAGGGGCTGGCACGTCCTGGGCAAGGAGAGAAGGAGGGGGTGAAGGGCAGGTTAAGCAGAGCTGCCCTGCACCCGCCGCGTGCCCGCACAGAGCCATCGGCAGGGGCTGGCACGTCCTGGGCAAGGAGAGAAGGAGGGGGTGAAGGGCAGGTTAAGCAGAGCTGCACTTCAGTGACTGCCCCAGGAGTTCCCTGGTGAGCCATGGCTCCATTGACCACTCAGCAGGCAATGCTGGTCAACACCCCGTGAGCCCCAGTGGGCAGCATCAGCCGACACATAATGAATGCCCAAGGGGCATCACTGTTCAACACTTTGTAGACCCCAAAAGACACCATTGGTCAACCCACAGTGGACTCCCTCAATGGACAATACTGACCATCACCCATCAGAGCACCCACAAACATAGCTGGAAGATGTTTAAACGATTTGTCTCATTGGCAGATGGCCACAGACCCTCAATCGGCAACACTGGCCAACACCCAATGACCCCCAGGGGACTCAACACCCATTAGACCTCTCCCAAAGGCCACTGTAGGCCCCTTCTCTGTTGGACGCTCAGTGACCCAAAGACCACTCAATGGGCACCGTGGCCAATGCAAGGGGCTGCTAGGACAGAGCAAAGCAGGTGTCCACGTGGAGTGGGCTCACCTCCAGGTGCCATCGGCCAGGTCATAGCACTCCACCGTGTCTGTGCAGTAGAGCTCTCCTGAGTTGCCCCCCAGGGCATAGATGAAATGCCCAAGTGCCACAGCGGCAAAGTAGCTGCGCCCACAGGTCATACTGGCCAGGCGCTCCCAGGAATCCTCCATGGGCTGATACCTGGATTTGAGAGGTGAAGGGGCAAGAGACTACCTGTTACCGACAATGCCATGAGGTGATGTTGGCACCGCTGACGGCAACAACCCACCTACAACCATAATGCTTTGGGGCCACGTGGTCCCCTTGCGTGGGAATAT